GCCCTCCGCCGCTCCCTCCTTCCCTCCCTCCCTCCCTCCGCCGACGCCGCTTCCCCTCCCCTCCCCTCCCTGCAATTAAACCGCCAGACCCTGGGCAAGAGTCATCCCTGGCGGCGGCGGCCGGGGAGAAAGCCGGTCCCTGCAGACACACAAATCCGGCCTGATTCACCTCCGGGCCGTGACTAACCGCGGGGAGCCGGCCCCGGGAGGGGGAGAGGGAAGGGGGAAGGCCCGAGCCTTCCTCTTCACCCCCCCCCGGGGCTGGGGGACACGACAGCCCCCTGTGTTCCAGCGGGACAAAGGGACACTGAGCTCCTTTGGGGTGTCCCCACTGTCCCAGAGCCAGAGAGGGACGTGCGTGCCCTGGGATGGGGATATGGGGACCAAAGGTCCCCCCGGTTTGCAGGTCCCCCGGGGTGGCAGAGGGGGGTGGTTTTGCTGCGGGGTGGCCATCAGGGACAAAGAGCAAAGCCCATGGTGCAGGGGTAACAGGTCACAGCACTGTGGTACCAAGCCCCCAGTGCCTCGCCCAGCCCGGTGACTGCAGCCTGTCCCTGGGTGCTGGTGGCACATCCCCACTGCTATCAGTGGGGAGCGGCCCAGGGGAGCGTGGATTTCCCAGGCAAGGCCGGGGCAAACCCACAGGCACAGTGGGGTGAGTTAGTGGGGGTGGACAGCTCGGGCAGGTCTGCCCACAGGCACGGCTATGCCCCCCCCAGCACTGTGCTGCCTGGAGGATTGCACCCCCCCCTCCCCACCCCTGCTCCCCACAGCTCTGCCAGTGCCCAGTCTCCCTGTTCCTGGGGTCCCTTGTCCCCACGCAGGCTGGCAGCCAGTCTGTGCCCCCCCATGCAGTACCTGCCCTCAATGACCGTGATGATGTCGTTCATTTGGATGTGCAGCTTGTCAGGCTCCTCGAAGTCCTGCAGTGCCCTCATGTCGGTGGGCTGGGCCTGGGGGCAAAAGGGCGTGAGGACAGGGGATGCAGTCCCCCATGTCCCTCCCTGTTCTGTTTCAAGGCCAGGCCCAGCCCCATCCAGGGCAGTGGAGCCCCAAAAATGAGCAAGGCAGAATCACACCACTCTCAGCTCGTCCTCAGCTGTGACATCCCTGGAGTAGGCGAGAACAAGGTGGCACCCAGGGTCCTCCCACTGTGACCATGTAGGGCTGCCTGGCCTGGGCCCCCCAGTGTCACCTCCCTCCTCGGTGATACCCTTAACTCTGCCCAGTCAGGCAGAGCCCCTGGGAGGGCGTGCTGGGACCCCTGCCCCCTCCTTGCTCACCCACCTCCACCAAGAAGTCCCGCAGGGCCACAAAGGTGGGTCGGTCCTCGGGCTTGTGTGCCCAGCACTGCAGCATAACGTTGTAGACGTCTTGGGGACAGTCCTCAGGCCGTGGCAGCCGCTCACCCTCCTTGTCTATCTTATGCAGGATCTGTGGGGCAGGGGGGTGCTGTCAGGGAGTCCCAGGTCCCCCCCACCACTGCTGGGGTGAGGCAGGGAGGCAGCCCCCAGCTGAGCACCCACCTGGCTGCCGTTGAGGCCGATCCAAGGCTCCTGTCCATAGGTGAACATCTCCCAGAGAGTCACCCCAAACATCCAGGTGTCACTGGCATGGGAAAAGGTGCGCGTCTTCAGGCTCTCAGGAGCACACCTGCACGGGGGACGTCAGCATCAGGAGGTTGTGGGTGCTGCACTCCCAGGCCACCCCCTCCCCAGGGCTCACCAGGCGAAGGGGACCTTGCGATGCTCCTGCATCACATAGTGGTCGTCATTTTTGGGCAGGGCCCGCATCAGCCCGAAGTCCCCGATCTTGACCAGCTCATTGGAGGCCAGCAGGATGTTGCGGGCAGCCAGGTCGCGGTGGATGAAGCGCTTGGACTCCAGATAGGCCATGCCCTTGGCCACCTGAATGGCGTACTGGCAGAGGGTGGAGATGAGGAAATGGCCCTGGTTCTTCCGCAAGCGGTCCAGGAGGGAGCCCAGTGGGGCCAGCTCTGTCACCTGGGCCATGGGGAGGAGACAGCAGGTTGGTCAGACCAGGGGCACCCTGGTTGGGCTGGTTTCCAGCCTTCTTATGTCCCACTGGGGATGCCAGCGGAGGACTCGGGGTACAGACTCAACCTGATTTTGACCCTCCATGGGGTGGCATCAGGGTCAGCCCCATGTCATTCCCCCCCCTGCCCCACTCACCATCTTCATGGGGTGGGAGAGCACCACGCCATAGAGGCGGATGAGGTTCCTGTGGTCCAGGGAGTGCATGGCATTCACCTCTCGGATAAAGTCATCCAGTGCCTCCGGCTGGCTCAGCACATCAGTCTTGAGGCACTTCACTGCCACGTTCAACTACAGCCAAAGCGGGGATGAGCCCTGAAGCATCCACCCCCCGCAGTGGTCCCACTGTCCGGCTCCCCCCCACCCCTTCCACTTGCAGCCCCTCACCGTCTTGCCGGCAGGTGTGCACCACTCGCCGCGACGCACGACACCGAAGGAGCCGTCGCCCAGCTTCTCGAAGAGCGAGAGGTCCCGCTCCCGCACGAGGCAGGTGAGGGAGTGCTGGCCCCCCGCTTCGGGGGGCGGTGGCGTGGGGGGCTTGCGGAAGGTGCTCTGGGGCTGGGGTGGCAGCTCCGACTCAGGGCGCTTCCCGCTGAACACCTGTGGGACATGGAGGCAGGGGAGAAGCAGGTATGGAGATGCCCCCAAGCCCTTGTGTCTGCGAGTGAGCCATGCCAAGATGACCCCCTGTCTGCGCTGTACACTCTGGAACCTAAAGATGACTCCTAACTGGTGATTAGTCCGGGCAGGCTGCCTGTGGGAGCAGGCTCTGCTCCTCCAGCTGCCTGCACACCAAGCTGCAATTGGTGTGGAGGGAAGGGGTTGTGCTTCTCACGGCAGCCCCCAAGCAGCTCCAGCAAACCAGGCCAATAGCCAAAGGGCCCTGGGTGCTCCTTGGCCAGGCTGTGGCCACACACTGTGCCTGGGCACGAATCCAAGAGAAACCTCCAGCTTGGGCTGAGTGTGGCAACAATACGCATTGCTGCCACCACAAGCCTGGAAGGCTCTCCCTTCCTCTCCCCTAGCTGGGACCAATGATGTGCCCCACAGCATGAGGTCCATTCCAGCCTCAGCAGCCAGGACTCGTGTGGGGTGCACAGCGGTGGGCCCAGCATGTGGCTGGGGTGGGAGGTGGCATTTCTGTGCCCGGTGAGAGGCTGGGTAGCCTTCTATTAAAAGCCTATTCCATCCCTGTCCCGACCCAGATGAGTCACACGGGAGAGGCCACGACCCAGTACCCAACTGGCAAGCACCCTGCTCTTTTGGGGGTGCAAGGTGCTGGGGGGCGCCAGGTTGGCAGCAGTACCAGCTCTGGATGGGAGGGCATCAGGGGCACACATGAGCATCCCAAAGTCCCCTGCCCCACTGTGCCCCCGGCCTGCAGGCACAAAGCTGTACCCCCTTGCTGTGGGGTGGGCAGCCAGCCGGGCAAGGCTGCTGCCCACAGAGCTGGCTGGGGTGAGATGCAAAGGCTCTGTGGCTCATTAGCTGCCGAGGAGTTTCCTGGCAAAGAGGCAAATAACGTGAGGGGAATGAATTTCCTAAGTGCTGGGGTGACAGGGCCATCCTTTGCTGGGAAGTGACCTGGGAGCCCACTCGGGACCGGGGTGTGTGCTGGCAGGGTCATGCCACAGGCAGGGCATGTGTGGCTGGGGCTTCTGCCCATCTCCCTGCCAGCTCCCAGGGACCAGTGGCATGAGAACCACGCATCGGGGAAAAGCATAGGGAGAGGTCCAGCTCCTCCCCCCTGCCTCAGTTTCCCTGCCACACCTGCCCCTCTCCCATCCCTACCTTGCTCATCCAGGATTTCCGCTTGCACATGGCTTTCCTCCGCTTCACCGCCTCCCACAGCCGCCGCTGGCCTGCAGGACAGAGGGACACAGCGACTGTCACTGACCCAGCACAGCATGGGGGTCCCCTCCAGCCCCAAGGACAGCATGCTCCTCTGGGGTCCCCAAAAGATTCTGTGCAGCCAGCCAGGGGCATGGGGGGAGGTCTGGGGGGGACGTACGCACCAGGGCGTCCCATGCCAATCTTCTCCAGATCCTCATTTTTGACGTACTCGAAGTGGGAGAGGCGGGTGACGTTGAGCTCGTCCCGGATGCGCAGGAAGTACTGCTGCAGCTGCAGCTCAGTGAGCAGCTCCAGCAGCCAGTCCGTGCCCTCCTCCGCCTGCATGCTACAGCTCAGCCTCTGCTGGGACAGGGTGCCGGGTTAGCAGGGACCCTGCCTGGCTCCCCTCTGCCCCATCCCCACTGGGAGGGCTACCCAGAGGGGCTGAGAGCCAAGGCTGGGGTGCTGCCTGGTAGGGCATGAGGAATGCAAGTGAGACTTATCTCCTGAGCCTCTCCCCAGGGGGGCCAGGGTCCCTGAAGACAGGCAAGGACCCCCACTCTGCCCTGTGGTGCCCACAGGAACACCAGCCCACCCCTCTGCTCCAGCACAGGCTGTCCCCAGGCAGCGTGCCAGGGACACAGGATGGGGTAGAGCCTCTGGGATGGATGTGCCTGACAGCGACCCCCAGCCGAGGGGCACCCCACAGCCTGGCACTGCGCCTCTGCACGGGACACCCCACACAGGGGATCGTGCCTGCCAGGCTCCCTTTGCTTGGCTGGAGGGGCTGAGCGGGACAGGACAGCTGTCCCCAGCAGGGACGGCCACCTCGGCACTGCCTCTCAGCCCCCTGGCATCCCTGCAGGGCCGCAGCACAGACCCATGGCAGGTGTCCCCTGCTACGGGTGGTGGCCCCTCACCAGGTAGCCACAGGGAGGGAGAGAAGACATCAGGACCTGTGTGGGGTCCCGGTACCCCAGGGCTGAGGCACAGGGTACCCCAACACTGCTTGGATCCCAGGTGTCACCCACAATTCCCCATGCCCCCCCTAAACATGTCCCCCACCACACCCTATCCCAACTTGCTGTCCCAGCTCTCCCCCCTCTTTCATCACCACCTTTCCGGGAAGGAGCATGGATCTGCCTCCTGCTGTCGGGGGTTGGAGGGGAGGTGGGATCTCCCATCCTGGCCCCACAGCAAGGCAACCCCTTCGTCCTCTCCTCCCTTCCAGGAGACAACATGGCCCCAGCGTCTCTGCCCCCTGTGCTCAGGTCCCTCAGCCGCGTCACCGCAATTACAGCCCTCAGCACTGGGCTAAAAATACGGCGGGTGCGGCAAGCAGCTGGGCACGGGGGCGCATAGGGGCACGCGGGGGCACGCGGGGCGAAAGTAGCCGCCAGCCTTCGGCGTGTGGCTGGCCAGGGACAGCCAGTCCCCTGCCCGCAGGCAACAGGGACAGGGACAGGGGACGGCTGGCGTAGGGTCTGCCCGAGGCGGGGGTCAGCACTTACTCGGTAGAGGCGGAAGCGGGCAAGGAAGGGGAAGGATCGGCGCAAAGCCTGGAAGCGTCGCATCCTGCCTGGCTGCCCGCCGCCAGCCCCTGGCACCGCCGATGTCCCTTCCCTGGCAGCGGTGTCCCACGGCAGAGCCCGCTCAGCACAGCCGAGGCATCCGTAGCCCCGTCAGATTGGCTACAGAGATGCCCTTTGGGCTTGGTCGCCCCATATACCCCGCGTTGGAGAAGGCAGGGGGATTGAGGCGTCCATCGGCCGGACGCAGGCTGTGGCTCTCCCCCTCCTTCCGTCTGGCTCTCGATCCTCCCGGCTGGCCCTCCCCTTCCCCAACGCAACGAGGCCGGGGCGGGGGGGCAGCGGCAGACAGGCAGGGCTGGGGGTCACTCCCCTGGCTGGAGTTGCTTCCCGGGGACCCCTGGCCAGCCGCGGGGTTCGGTCCCGGCTGGCTGCCTGCGCAGCGCTCCCCGGGAGGGGTTATTTTCGGCCGGTGCTGGGACGCACGCCCAGGGGGCTGGGCTCCCATCAATGTGCTGCTTTCTCCCTTGTTCAGCGGGCACCGGCAGCTGGGAGCCCGGACCCCCGCTCCCATTTCCATGGAAACTCGTCCTGGCCTTGGGAAATGCTCCTGGGCCTCAGTTTCCCCCCCAGGAAGCGGGGAGAGAGGGAGGGAGAGGAGACATCCGGCTCTCCGCTCCCCAACCGAGGCCACAGGCACAACGCCAGAGCGATGGGCGCTGCGGGGGGAGCTTCTGGCTCGGCAAATGTCCCCGCCGCCCAGCTGCCAGCCCCTGTGGGGCTCTGCCGTGGGGTGCCACCAGCACCCTGGGGCTCGCTCCCCTTCCCTGGAGGGGCTGGCACCCAAGCCTGCGCTGTTGTCCGCCTGTCCCTGGGGAGAACAGCTGGCCACGCCAGCAGCCGCAGCGTGAGAGAGGAAAGACCCATGGCAACCTCCTGCTGCAGCCCCCGCCTGCCTGGCCCCCCCAGACCACAGCCATCACTGTTCCAGGGGGCAGCTGGGAGGGGGTTAAGCACATCCCCAGGCACAGAGGAGCCTCCACTGTGGCTTCCACTGCCGGGATCCCGGCTGGCACCCGGCGGCACAGGCACCCGGCACAACAAGCCCATTGACTGGGGACACCCGGGCATGGTGCCCTCAGCACCAACCACTGCCACGCGCCAACTCCCCCCTCCCTGGCCCAGGGGACACGGGGGGTTCCCTGCCCTGCAACGGTGCATCACCCTCATCAGCCGGCACCAGCACCCACTGGAACTGGCACCCACTGGGGCTGGTGTGCTGCCTCCTGCACCCCCAAACCCAGCATGAGGCTGCCCAGCTCAGTGCCTGCACTGGGAGTCCTGGTCTCTAAAAGGGAGCAGGGGGACCCAGCCTTGCCCACTGTGCTGGGGGAGGCTCTGTGCCTCAGTTTCTCTCTCCACAATAGACCCACGGGTGCATGCGGTAACACCGCAGCCTTGGCTCCGAGATGGGCATGCAGGTTTGACAATGAACCTCCATCCTGCGGGGGGGTCACAGATGCCCATGCAGCCCCCACAACCTGGCAGATGGCAAAGACCCCCAGCACGGGTGCTGCTCAGCGCCCCATGCCCTGTGCACACGCCATGCCATGCACACCCACTCCTGCAGCCTGGGGGATACACCCTACGTGCACCCAGGCTCACGTGCACACTGGGACCACACAGGCACAACCCTCGGCACCCCGTGTACCTTCCGCCACCTGCACAACCACAGAGGTCCCCCCACGCACGCATCGCCTCCGTGCACCCCCCCTCGCCAGCTACCGCCCTGCCCGGCCACACGTGCGCAAACACACTGGCGCCGCACAGCCGGCGGCAGCACACCGGCCCGCTCCCCCGCCTCCACCTGACGCACACCTGGAGCCGCATGCACCCCTGCACGCTCATGGGTGCCCGACCCCAGTGTAGCACACTCCTCGCCTCCACACTCGCCACGCACACCCGCCTGAGCTGGCACACAGGTGGCCAAACCACCCCCTCCCCAGCGATTACTCCTTATCCACAACGACACTGCAACACCTGCCCTAAACCCTGAGGCAGCTGCACCTTCCACATGCACCTATGCGCCCCCTACCCCCCAACACCACCACGCGCAGCCCAGCACCCCCCAGCAACACCCCCACAGGGGGATGGCAGCCTGCGCGGCCACGGGCTGGATGTAGCGCTGCAGCCAGGGGACGGCATCCTGTGCTGGGCACTGTGTCCCTGTGCCGAGCTGTGCCGCTGCACGCCATTGCCCTGTGCCTCAGTTTCCCCAGCAGGAAGCAGCCGGCAGCTGCACTGCCGTGGGTCGGGATGGGAGCACAGCCAGGCATGGGGGTGCCATCACCACACCACATCGGATGCTGGGGGCTACTGTCAGTGCCGGAGAGGGGAGATGCCATGCAGGGCCCCCTCCATGCCCCATGCCAGCTGCCGACCCACACCCCACAGCAGGACCCTGCCCCTCTTGGGGACACCCAGTCCAGACGGGTGCCCCCTGCTGCTCCCCCCCACTGGTTCCCCCTGCACTGACCCGCCGGCACGGCATGCCCGGGGCGATGTCCTGCCGCGGGGATGGCATGGGGCGCCCACTGCCCAGCCGCAGGGCCCGCTGCCCAGTGCTGTCCGAGAAACTGTGGGGCAGGGGGCCCAGCATCTCCTCCTCCTCCTCGGTGCTGCTCAGACGCTGGTAGTCACATCTCTCACCCATGGCCGGGGCGGCGGCGGCTGCGGCGCGGTGACGAGCGAGGGGCTCTGCGGAGACGCCCGCGCCTGCCTGGGGGTGGCGAGGGCTGGAGCTGGGCTCGGGATCACATGGCAGAAAGTTGCTGCAGTTCCGGAAAACAGCGAGAGGGTGAAGGTGACCGCGATGGTGATGGAGAGGAGGGGGTATGGAGGGATGCAGAGGAGATGGGGAAAATAGCAGGGGGAGCAGCCCCTTGGGTGCCCATCCTCACCCCAATTCCAGCCTGGCACCGCTGTCTTCCTCCTGGCTCAGCACCTCAGCTGCCCGGCTGCCGTCCCTGCTCCAGCACCGGAGCAGAGAGGTGGTGGCATTGCTGCCAGCCCCAGCGCCGCGCTCGCAGCCCCGTTCTCCCCCCACCCCGGCACGGTGCAGCCCGCCAGTGGGGATGCGGTGCAGGCAGCCACGCAGAGCAGGAGGAGGAGGTGGTGAAGGAGAGGGGTGGGAGCATCGTCCAGCAGCTGGGGCTCTGTGGCAAGCAGGGTGGGTGAGAAGGAACTGTGCCCCCTTCCTGGGCACCTGCGGAGGGGTGGGGGGGCTCTGAGGCTGATAGCATCCCCAGCATCCCTCCCACTTCCCTGCGCCGGCAGAGGGGGATGGGATGCACTGGGAAGATGGCTGCTCCGCAGCAACCCGGCAGCGTTGGCACAAGCACGGCGGGGCTGGGAGAGCAGCCAGGCCCCAGCGGGTGCTGCCGGCATGGGGTTCAGGGCGCACACCAGGAGAACTCCTCCCAGCATTAATCCGCTCCCCACACACCCTCACAGGGAGCTGGGGGTCTCCTAGACCTCTGCCAGGCTCTGCACCAGGCACAGCCCCCAGAAGGGGCAGGTGGCACTGGGCCACCCCTCCAGGATGGGGACCCCCCCACCTGCGCACCGGGACTGGCCCGTACCCCAACGTTGCCTGGCCACAGCCCCTCTCTGAGCCCCCTGGGCCAGAGCTGCAAGCCTGCAAGGAGGCTGAAACTGGGGGGGGCTGCAGGTCCTGCCCCCAGCCCCCCCGGACCTGCCTGTCCTTTGGGGCACAGCTCCAGGGACGAATTTGCTCCTCATGCCAACATCATGGGGCACAATGCCCCCCTCAACCCCCAGAAGCACTCCTGTGACACCCCCACCCCCCAACACCATGGTGTAGCCACCCCAACACCAGAGACACGACACCAGGCTGTCACTGCACCAGAGCACAGGGTACGAGCCCATCCTGCCTCTCTCCGGAGAAACACCCCCAACCCC